AAAACTGATGTTCTGGGAAAGCTGTTAGGAGACTTAGATCCCACTGAACCATGAGGATGAATCTGACCTCTTAATGCGCACTTTGCTGTACAAATTGCTGGACAAAGCCGTCCAATCGATGTGCACCTCTGTGCGCGGGTTAGTCAACAAAGCCAATTGTGATGCTCAACAGAAATGTGTACGACTTAATGGACCGAAACATTCCTCTTTAGTTGTCTGATTACAACTTGATGTTATTTTCCTAAATTTTAGTAAAATGCCTTTAAACTACTACTACAGGACGGGCTTTACCATCACTATAGTTTGGTGTATAGTTTGCTAAAGTTATCCTATCAGTATATGCATATCGATATAAAGGGCGGTCGACAAAATCACCAGTGGAAAACGGACTTCACCTCTTGATGTGCACCTTGTTTTCCAGGTTTTTCAGTAGTTTCCCGTTTAAGATGAGTTTGACCTCTAGATATGTGGCTTAGTAGACAAAGTTCTTATCGGAGCACTGTTCACTTGACCCCTCGTCGCAATGGTTGCCGGCCGGTGAGGGCCTGGCGATTGAGTGTCCTTGTGCCGGTCGCGTTCCTTATCGCCCCCTCCGGACGTCCTGTGCATCCTTGACACCGTTATCTGCTATCGTCCTCGCTACCAATTAATTACAGTAATGGTGGTTGTCCTTTTAAGTGTTTTTGCGCGCTGTAAAAACTTAATACGCATGCACTTTTAGTGTTATTGAAGCGTTCGGCCGGTTGTCGGAAGAGGCTACCCTCCATAGGACTTGTTCTCCTCCTTTTCATTGCCATTTTCTGTCGGTCAATTTTGAGCATGATTCAGCATCCGTTCAATCCATTTTCTTCCTCTGCAGGCATTCTGGCGACTCTACAACTATACTCTGCGCAGCATCATTCTCAATCCATTGACCCTATTTTTCCCCTCAAAAAAGAGCCTCAGTTTAGTGGAAATGCTATTTATTCCAGTCACCCACAGTGCTGCTTTCTGCGTGTTCCACCTGCTTTGATAAGAAAAAATGTGTTGAATAAGATGTGACTACTAAATGAGCAAGCAAGGGAAGATGAATCAAGTAAGTAAGCGGATAGGGGAATAAGAAAAATAAATAAACAAATAACTCAAAGTAAAAACTTTCCTCCGATTTCCATCTTAATGGGAAGCGGGGGCACTCAGGCAGTATCTCAAGTAGAGTAGCAAATGTCAAAAGCAGCAGTCCGCTGGCGAGGTTGTCGAAGGGCTCCCTGTTTCGAGAGTTGCTTACGAGCAAGCTAATGGCCGGTTTAACTTTGCTAGTACCAATTTTACCACCGAAACAAATGAATAAGTCGTAGAGGGATTGAGTGTCCCACACCTTCGACCTGCTGCGAACAAACAAATGAGGTCACAATGTCCACCTTATTGATAATTGTTGCACAAATACGG